GGGGGGCCAGGGGGTGGTGGTGGTGGGATGAACTGGGAGATTAGTATACACTAATTTGTATAAAATGGATGACTAACAAGAACCTGCTGTATAAAAAAATAAATAAAATAAAATTCAAAAATTCAAAAAAAAAAGAATCCGCCTGCCAATGCAGGGGACACGGGTTTGAGCCTGGTCTGGGAAGATCCCACATGCCACGGAGCAACTAAGCCCGTGCACCTGCGCCCTAAAGCCCGCGAGCCACAACTACTGAACCCGAGTGCCACAATTACTGAGCCCATGCTCCGCAACAAGAGAAGCCACCGCAATGAGAAGCCCGCGCACCGCAACGAAGAGTAGCTCCCAGTCGCTGCAACTAGAGAAAGCCCGCGCGCACCAACAAAGACTCAATGCAGCCAAATATAAATAAATAAATTAATTAATTTAAAAAAATGCTTTATAAAGTAAACTGTTCTGAGATACCAAGTACCTATGTGGACTATACACCCAATATATGTTAACATTTGGAAATTCTAATACCAATTATATCAGTGATAGAAACCTAAATTTTCAGTTGCCAAGAAATCGGCTCTGTTTGCTAGTTGATCTAAAAAAAATGATTCTGGTTAGGAACTCTATTAAAATTTTTATTTTAAAAATGTTATTTTAATTTAATTTTATTTATTATGTTAAAAATGGATAAACAAAATGTAGTATATCCATGCAATGGAATATTATTTGGCCATAAAAGGAAATGAAATACTGATACATGCTACAACATGGAAGAACCTTGAAAACATTATGCTAAGCACAAGAAGCCAGTCACAAAAGACCACACAGAGTATGATTCCATATACATGAAATGTCCAGAATAGGCAGATCCTTAGAGACAGAAAGCAGGCTAGTGGTTGCCAGGGGCTGGGACAAGGAGAGAATGGAGAGTGACTATTAATGCTTAGGGGTTTCTTTCTGGGCTGCTGAAAATGTTCTGAAATTAGATAGTACTGATGGTAGCACAACCTTGTGAATATACTAAAAACCACTGAATTGCATACTTTAAAAGGGTGAATCTTATGGCATGCAAATTATATCTCAATAAAGCTATTCTAAAAAAAATAGCAGGCCCAACAATGGTTTGGAGTAAACTCAAGTATTTTATTGTTACACATTTTTTAAACGGTAAACTCTAGTGAAGGCATTTAAATAGGCAAAAGCAGGATGAGTGAGGATAACGCCGATTTGTAGAAAGAGAACGGATTCTCCATTTACTGATTACTTTCTCTGGGCCAGGAACTGCTCCGGGAACTGCAGGAACAGCAGTGGATGACAACACAGAAGCAGAGCACTGCAGGCCCCATATTCTATTTGTTAAAATTCTTTTGTTCTCTCGTTTTCACTGTGTGACCCTTACATTTAGTTGAGACTATACCTTGTCACCCGATGCTAACACATGAAATTCTGGCTTAAGCCTTGAGACGACAAGTCTCCCTAACTAGCCACAGCTTAAGAAAAGTTCTAGATGGAGAAGAGAGAGGGAAGTGTTGTTGCAGGTGCAAAAGGAGGCGGGATTCCAAACAGTAAAAGCTTTTAGGGGAAATTCGTCAGCTAGGGACGCAGCTTCTGAGAGATTTCCAAGAAAACGTCTTGGTCTGCATTCAGTTCCCTTAGCTTTCTGTTAGTAAACAAACGGAGACATCTGAACTTCAGAGATTACTAAACCTCCCGTGGCAGGTAACCTTCAATCTCAGAAGGTGTTTTATGCTAATAAATTGTAGGAGTTAGAATATTCAAATCAGGGGGCTTCCCTGGTGGTGCAGTGGTTAGGAATCCGTCTGCCAATGCAGGGGACACAGGTTCGATCCTTGGTCCGGGAAGATCCCACGTGCCGCGGAGCAACTAAGCCCGTGCGCCACAACTAGTGAGCCTGCAAGCCACAACTACTGAAGCCCGGGAGCCACAACTAGTGAGCCTTTGCTCTAGAGCCCGTGTGCCACAACTACTGAGCCTGCGTGACACAACTACTGAAGCCCGTGTGCCTAGAGCCAGTGCTCCACAACAAGAGAAGCCACCGCAATGAGAAGCCCGCGCACCGCAACGAAGAGCAGCCCCCAATCGCTGCAACTAGAGAGAGCTCGTGCGCAGCAACGAAGACCCAATGCAGCCAAAAATAAATAAAATAAAATAAAATTTAAAAAAACCCCAAAACTGTAGCAAGTTGAAAGTAAAAATCCTCAGTAATTTCATTCTCCAGTGAACAATTTGGTGTTAACTGTGTGTGTGATTTGGGTTCTCTTTTTTATAAAAATGAGATCATATTCTGTGTTCAGTAATCTTTTCTCCCCACTTTATAACTGACCAGGGGCATCTTTCACTAGCAAATGCAAGATTCTCATCTTCTAGTAGTTCCACAGATGCCAGTGAAGCACAGGACAGCACTACAGGGCGGGTCTCAGCACTACCTTCATTGTTTGCTGGAGGAGCGTCCATGTTCCCTGGTGTTAAAGAAGATGGTTCTGGTTGTGCTGATGTCCACCCTGTGCCACTCACCTGAAGCAAGGGGAGAAAAGTCGTTACCAGCTAAGCAAGAAAAGTCATAAAAAACAAATAACAGGGGAAAAACCTAGTAATTTAAACAGTCAGCTTCCCACCTGGATTAGTGGGAAAGAAGGATAAGATTAAAATATACCTGTTCTTAAGTCTCTGTTTCCATGCTCAAATTCCTTATTTCTCCTCCTTTTCTTTAAATAAAAATTTTATTACGCAATAATTTCAGACTTACACAAAAATTGCAAAGATAAAAGTTTCTACAGACTCTTCACCCAGCTTCCTCTGATGTTAAAATACCCAGGGTACATTTGTCAAAACGAAGAATCATCACTGGTACAGTATTGGCTAAACTCCAGACTTTATTTGGATTTCACCAATTTTCCCACCAGTGTCTCTTTTCTGTTCCAGGACTCACCCAGGACCCCACGCTGCATTCATCACGTCTCCTCAGTCTACTCTGCTTTGTGACAGTTTCTCAGGCTTTCCTTGTTTTTCAGGACCTTGAAACTTTTGAAGGGTACTGATAGGTATTTTGTAGAACGCCCCTCACTTTGAGTTTGTCTGATGTTTTCTTGTGATTAGACTAGGTCTGGGGGAAGAACAGCAGAGAGGAGGTGCCCCCTCAGTGCCTCATGTCAACACGACTGCACTAGTGATGCCAATCTTTTTCACTTGGTTAGGTTGGCGCCTGGCAGTCTTTTCCCTGTAAAGTTACCGGTTTCCCCTTTCCATCCTCTAGTCCTGGGAAGCGTCACTAAGTCCAGTCCACGTGCAAGGGGAGGGGGGTTAAGCCCCACCTCCAGAAGTATGGAGAGGTATATGCATGATTTGGAATTATCTGTAAGGAAGACTGTCCTTTCCCTCCATTTCTTTATGCAATCATCCATTTATATTAGTACGGATATTTATTTATTCTTTGGATTATAGTCCAATACTATCATTATTTTGTTGTTCAAATCGTTCCAGCTCTGACCACTGGCACCTCTTCCAGGTTGGTTCTGGAGTCCTTCAGACATGTCCTCGTCCATTCCCCCTGCCTGGTCTCCTAGCACTTCCTTTCTTCTAGCACCACAGGGCGCTCTAGGCTTATCTGCCGCAGCAGCCCCAGTCCTAGAATCGGCCATCTCTCCAAAGGTAGCCCTGGGTCCTTCCATTGGAAAACAGCATTTAGAAACCAAGGTGTGGGTGCTGGGTGTGCCTGTTGTCCTGGGGTGTCACTGTCTCTAGGCCTCTCAGTGGACAGAGCTAGGTCATATGTCTGTGTGTACTAACCCATGTGTACACACGTATCTGCAATTAGTTCTCCATCATGTGTATGTGTGTGTGTGCGTGCATGTGCGTGTGCATATAGCTATATAGACAGAGAGACACTAAAATAAACATGAATTCATACTAATATCTCCAACTCTAATCCACACCAAACTGTTCACCTCTCTCCTCTTTTTAGTTCATCATTTCTATTCCTAACATTTCTCAGCTACTAATCATGGATATTCTGTATCTAGTTCTATATTGAACAATAGCAGCAGATCATGACAGCACACCCTGCTCTTTTGTTTTCTGTTCCCGTCTTTTTTGATAACTTTCTGGTAACTACTGATTCTGTCAAAGATAACATGTATATAATGTGCAAATTATAATAGCAAAAACAAATCAAGGTTTAGCAATGTATAAAACTTTACATAATTTTTTCTTGAAAATCAGTTAAAGGACTGAGTAGCAGTTAAGCAAACGGTGGCCCCTCCCCATCGGGACTGCAAGACGCAGGGCAGCTAACAGAACATCCGGGGCTATAAGCCAGGGGTCGCATACATTTCCTTAAAGGACCAGTTAGTAAATACTTTAGGCTTTGCAGGCCTCATGTTCCCTGATCTAAGCGATTTGGGGAAAATGCACAGAGGGACCATGGATTGTTGTTACTACTCCTATCGGACTACGAAGATGAGGTTAATGAAACGGCACTTGTTGAAGGCTTCCTCTGTGCTGGGTACCAGCTACTTTTATCTGTGTTAACTCATTTCATTCTCACAATAGCCTTGAGATATGTTCTACGTACACAGCTAAATAGGGGAAATGAGATTCAAACCGCTC